TGGCACAGCTGGAGCTCAAATCCAGACTTCTTGACCCTTTAATGGAGAGTTTGGGCAGTGGGAGAACTGGCTCTGCTGTGCTCCCATCTCATCCTTTCCCGACCTTTTCCAGATATCCGGATGGATTAGTAAAATATAGATGTCATATGCCTACCAAGGCCTAAGGTACAGGGCAGACATGCTATCAGTGTTTCGTGGGTGAATGGGTCAATATCCAAGCCTGGCACAAACAAGGACAGCCGAGTTTCGCTTATTACTGTCATATAGTCACAAGTAAAAAAAAATTGGAACTGTAAGTGAAGTGCTATCTATTAGATATGGGGGGGTGGAACAGGTTTGGAGGCAATGCTGCTTAATTTTGTGTGTCGGTTTAACTGGGCTTTAGGGTACCCATATATATATTGATCAAATGTTATACTGGGTGTGTCTGTGAGGACATTTTTGGTTAAAAACCTGGATAGATCAACTCTTGAAGACAGAATTCTACCTTCGTGACCACATTCAAACTGGACTGTATTTGATTTCTTTTGTTTCTGGTTTTAGACTGGAACCAGAACATTGGCTTTTTCTGGGTCTTGAGCTTCTTGGCTCTCCTGGCACTCTTCAGGCATGTACTAGAACTAAACCTTTGGCTCTTCGGAGTTCCAGTTTGCTGACTGACCTGTAGATTTACTGGCATGGGCCACTCCTTCTGATAACTCTCCATGAACATATGTATGTGAGAATCATTGAAGACTATGTCCTTGGCACCTATCATGGTGCCTGATATGTAACAGATAATGCATAGAGGTTTTATCACATAAGCAATAGAATACATTGCTGTGGGATAATGCCCTTGTACACTGTAAAGATTTGCCACTCATATTGGCTTAATAAAATGCTAATTGGCCAATAGCCAGGCAGGAAGTCTAGGCATGGCAACCAGACGAAGAGAATTCTGGGAAGAGGAAAGGCAGAGATGCAGTCACCAGCCAGACGCAGAGAAAGCAAGATGAGAACGCCTTTCTGAGAAAAGGGACCAAACCACGTGGCTAATCATAGACAAGAATTATGGGTTAATTTAAGTTATAAGAGCTAGTTAATAATAAGCCTGAGCTAATAGGCCAAACAGTTTATAATTAATATAAGCCTCTGTGTGTTTCTTTGGGACTGAATGGCTGTAGGAACAGGCAGGAAACAAACTTCCAGCTACAATACATCATGAATTTCCTGCTTTATATTTCCTCCACAGCCTAGAATATTGACACTATTGAAGAAAATCCTACAGAAAAAACACATGGTGTGAGGTGGGGAATTGGGCAATGGCCCATGAAATCATTTATCTGCTTACCCATTCAACAATCTATCAATGCAGCGGTATTTTAATTGTATACTGTCTACCAAGCAGCTCTTGGGCATTAAACACATGAAGAACATGAATACAGAGAACATGTGTACAACAGTATCATAACTGTTCCCAGAAAGACGGTGCCTCATGCAGGTAAGCTAGTACAGTACAGTGGGAACATGTCAATGAAATATCTTATAGATATTTCAATTTCTTCCAAAGAATATATACTTATGTGGGAGAATGTGCAAGTTTTATGTTCAATGTCAGAGTTAACATATATATTACAATATACATACATATATATATACATATATATATATATAGAGAGAGAGAGAGAGAGAGAGAGCAAGTGGTGTAGACAAATGCGTGAAATGTCTGTGTGCGTTAACGGTGGCTTTTAAAATTGTGTCATGAATGTTACAGATATTTAATGTTCTCTCTACTGTCCTGGTTTCGTTTTTGTTACTGTGATAAAACACCTTCATGAGAACACTTCCAAGGCAGAAAAGGTTTATCAGCTCATCATTCCAGGTTACAGTCTGTCACTGTAGGTCTGTCATAGGGCAAAGAGTTTAACACAGCTGTCACATCATCACCGCAGTCAAGAGCAGAAAGAGGATGAACATGTGCGTGCTGCCTCCCACTCAGCGCCCTCTCTACATGTGCCTTGTCCAGGATCTTCCTCCCAAGTGATGCTGCTCTTCCCAGCGGGCATGTCTTCACACAGCATGTGAGGCAATCGAGGCAGTCCCCAGCACACATGCCCATAGGCCAAACAGATCTAGACAATCCCTCATTGAGACTCCTTTCCTAGTTGATTCAGGTTGATAATTAACAGTAATTATCACTGGGCTAGAGAGATGACTCAGCAGTTAAGAGCATTGGCTCCTCTTCCAGGGGACCCAAGTTCAATTCCCAGCACCCACAAGGCAGCTTATAACCATCTGTTACTCCAGTCCTAGCAAGCTCTTCTAGCTTCTACATGCCCTGCATGACCGTGGTGTATAGACTTGTAAGCGGGCAGAACACCTGCATACATAAATAATAAGTTAAAAATTTTAAAGTAACCATCATATCTACATGTCTTTATTTTCCATACTGGTTCTTACTTTCTTAGTTTAATAAACAAAGAGGATGTTTTGCCATGTTATTTGAAATGCATATTGCTTATCTTGCCATCTAGACAACTTGCCTAAAAGTGTCCCTAAACTTTATCCCTAAACCCACAGCATCATGGAACTGACTGCTGGTACCCATGGCCATCTCTGCAGTTTTCAAGGGCAGCAGAATGAGCTGCAGGAGGCCAGAAGGCAGTTGGGCACAAGGGGACTCAGTAGTGAGTGTTGATTCAAACTTCAGAAGCCTGACTCTGAGTTGTTTATTTTAGGTGTGTTTAAAGACAGCACAATCTGGTGGAAACTATTCTTGTGATAATTAACTCAGTCCCACATGCAGAACAAAGCATAACTGAACGTCTTTGAGGAACACGGTGAGTGAAATACCAATGAGACATGGCAACATCAAAAGTCTTTGTAAAGTCCATGTGACACTTCCCATCAAGATAGCTTCTACAGACTGGCTGAGACAAACAAGTCCATGACAATGAGTCTAGAAGAATATCCAGTGCCGGGAGATCTTTGACTCCACAGATGGTGCAAAGGTCGCCAGGCTAGTTAACATGTCTGCCCCAGCCCTCTGGGTGGAAAACAGGTTTTGCCTTCCCTCCCTTGAAGGAATAACCCTGTGTGACTAACTTCCCAGGCTCCCCTAGTGCATGTCTGTGAGCAGAAAGACATCTGTGCCCCCATGAGAGTTCAAAACAAGCCCATCCCCTTGGCTGTAGTCCATTGGTCCAAACCAGGCATTTGACCCAACCTAGGCCAATCAATTACATTCCCTGACAATTTGGAGAGTGAAGTGGTTTCCCAATGAAAAATTCCTTCGAACAGAACAAGTAAACAGGAGGGCTGCAGAGCAGCCATATTCCCTGCCTTGTAGACTAAGAAGTACAGTAGACTCCGAGGAGAGAGGGAAGGTGCTGATGTGAAAAGTGAAGAGATGGCTCAGAGGTTAAGAGCACTGACTGTTCTTCTAGAGGATCCGGGTTCAATTCCCAGCACCCCACATGGCAGCTCACAACTATCTGTAACTCCAAGATCTGACACCCTCACACAGACATACATGCAGGCAAAACACCAATGCACATAAAATAAAATAAAATAAAATAAAATAAAATAAAATAAAATAAAATAAAATGAGAGAAGGGACCAAGACACAGCTGAGTTTCCATGACAACTATATGTGTTCCCTCTGTCCTTGATGAAGTCGTGAAGCCCTACACTTAAATCTGAATATTTATGTCGTATAGTTTGGGGCTGGAACTTGCTTAGTTGGTACAGTGCTTGCTGCACAGATCCCAGTACCTGTGTAAGAGCTGGGCGTGGTGGCAAGCTTCCTATAGCTCCAGCACTGGAGACAAGGAGGCTCTGCGAGACTTGCTGTCCAACCAGGCTAGGCAAATCAGTAAGTTCCAGGTTCAGTGAAAGATGCTGTCTCAAAATAGAGGGTAGAGGGGAATTGAGCAAGATACACACTGTACCTCTGACACTCTGTGTTTATATACACATATATAAAAAAGGAACAAAATGTTGGGTTTAATCTGAATCAGTTAGCTTTTGTTTATCTCCTTTTTTGTTGTTTTTGTTTTTGAGATAGGGTTCTGTAGCATGAATACTAAAAACCCAGAGACAGACATTGGGGTTCAGCCTGAAGATCAGAAAAGCAAAGCAACCAAGCCACTAGAGAGCTCTCACCTCTAAGAAATTCTCAGACTGAAAGAGCAATCCTACCTCCACAAATCCTCAGAATAAGGCTGAGCTGAGAGCTGACTCCTCCTGTCTTATAGTCCTGGCATTGGGGGCGAACTAGTGTGGCTACTAGGATTAAAGATGTATGCCACCACTGCCTGGTCTGTAAGGCTGAGCAGTGTGGCTATTTTACTCTATCTTCAGGCAAGCTTTATTTATTAAAACACAAATGAAATATCTCTTCAGGACTTCTCTGTGTAACAACCGTGGCTGTCTTGGAACTTGCTCTGTAGACCAGGCTGGCCTCGAACTCAGAGAAATCTACCTGCCTCTGCCTCCCAAGTGCTGGGATTAAAGGTGTTTTCCACCATCACCCAGCTGTTTACTTCCTTTAAAAAATATTTTATTTTATGAAGCCTGTTCTCATTCTGTAGCCCGGGCTGGCTTGTAACTTAACATGTAGCCTAGGCAACTCTGAAACTCGGGCAATCCTCCTGCCTTTAGCTTCCCTAGCGCCGAAATTATAGGCATGCGCCAAAACACCCAACCTGAGCTTTTGTTAATTGAAACCAAGAATTCTATGCATGCAAACATCTTTAGGTAGATAAAAGTAGGCACCTGGTTCACTAAGAGGCTTACAGAACGGTACTGATCTGTGAGAACAAGGATAGTATATCCCAACTTAGCTCCAATCACCTGGCCAACCTTGGAGCCAACGGCTAACTACAGAGCCTGCTCTTTGATGGGCAAGAAGAAGTGAGTGAGGGTCTACCCTACCTTTGCTTTTAAGCTTGCCCTCTTATCAGGGTTGATGAGAAGGATATTTTTAATCCTCCCTCCATTTCCTTTTATAGGAAAAGGACTCCATACAGGTGGCTGGAAATTCCACAGTCATCTCATTGGCCCTCAGATGCACTTGTAATTAAGGACCGGTTAAATGTTGGCTGGAAACCTCTTCACTGCTTAAAGGCTTCATTGGAACACACAGTTTCTCCTTGAGGGAGAAGAATTGGGGGACTCGAGAGACAGTTAAGTATACTCGTTGCTCTTGTAGAGAGCAGCAAACCTAGGCTCGGTATCTATCCATCATCCATATTGTCTTGGGGTTTCTATTACAATCATAAAACACCATGACTAAAAGCAACTTGGAAGGAGAGAGTTTATTTTGGCTTACAACTCTCGGGTGGTGTCTCTGTCACCAAGAGAAGCCAAGTCAGGAATTTATGGCAGGAGGCAGGAACTAAAGCAGAGAGGGGGGAAGACGCTGCTTGCACGCTTGCAGAAAACACAGTCTGCTTTCTGACACAACTGGGGACCACCTGCCCAAAGGTGGTACCACTCACAGTGGGCTAGGCCCTCCCATATCAATCATTAATCAAGAAAATTCCATACAGGCTTGCCTGCGGGCTGATCATGTACAGACATTTTCACAATTGCGATTCCCTCTTCTCAGATAGATCTAGATTTGTGTCAAATTTACAAAAAATGAACCACTATACACATGGAGGCTCAAAATGTCTGTAACTCCAGTTCCAGGAGATCCACACCCCACTTCTGGCCTCTATGAGCACCACACACACACACACACACACACACACACACACACACACATATACATGCAGCCCAAACATTCACACACATAAAAGAAAAATAGATATTTTGTGTATCTTCCTCGATTCCTTTCTACCCTATATTTTGAGACATGGTCTCTCTTACCCAACCTCTCACTGATTTGCCTAGCTCTGGTTTAGTTTGTGGACCTTAATTGTAGATGATATCTGAGTGTTATCAAAACTACTTCCTACTGTTCCTTAGTTTGGGTGCCCAAAAGCAGCCATAACATACCAGGTGCTGCCAGGCCATTTCTCCGCCTTAACTGTCATCTAGAGTTAGAGGAAAGTGCAGAGTCACTTTCCGCAAGGCCACGGCACCAAGCGTGTATGGTGTATAAATAGGGTCACTTAGAAAAGCACCGGCTGTTTTTACAGCGATGAAATCAGGTCAGTCGCTAGAGTTTTCAACAACACCACGGTCTGACTGTGGAAACGGGAACATATGTTTTGAAGTTGTGAAGCCACTTGTCTCAACAGCATCCCTCAATGCTTTATTGGCGTGAAATCTTCACCAGGAGTTATCTGACCTACAAAATCTAATCAGAGATTGCAAGACCTCTCGGGAAATTGTGCCGCCGACTGCCTTCAGAGTACAATGTCAGGCTCTTAACTAATGGATTAGACTACTGATCTAAAGCACCTCTACCATGACCCTGTTTTGAGACCTCAGTGACGCCTCCATGGCAAGAAAGCAGAGACCTTGCAAACGTAGCCACCATGTGTTTAGGACACACACACACGTTTAACACTCAGGGCACAGACTTCTAATTTTTGCCCAAACTGAGCTTTTTAAGGTGTAAGCTAGTCCTCATGCCCTATTTCTCTCTAGAACCACGCAGGTAGTCACAGAGCCTTGGCTACATGCCAGGTGGTAAGAGGACAGAGTCTGTGCCCACGTAGACTTCCGTGATGGGTGACCTTCAAATTGGGGTCAGAAGGGTGGAAGTCACAGTCACACAGAACAGGAAAAGGAAGGGAGACAGGTGTTCCAGGTAAGCGAAAGTCTATAAAAATGTCCAGATGAGGCAGCTGCTTGAGCTACAGCTTAAACACATGCCTGTCCCGCGTGCTGTTATTTTCTATGGGGGATGACATTTTGACATCTCTTGGCGCTAAACAAATCTCTAAAAGTTGGAAACCACATGCCTGTGAGCAGGCCTTTGTAAGGCGATTCAACTGATCTGGGATCATATTCCTAACCAGTTCTTTGCACCAGGCAATCCAGGTTCCCATCCCCCTGCTCTAAGTCATGCCAAGACCACGTACAGGACAAAGAGGAGCCAGTCCTATATTGAAGAGTCTGTCCAAATATTAAAAAATAACCAGACAGCTCTGAGTTTGCTTATCCCACCTTGCCTTTCATTTCCCACTGTGTCCCCATTAAAGCCCCTGCCCGTGCTTTGCCTTGACCCCTGACACCAGTCCCATCTGTGCCGTCTCATCAGGTGGGGCCTAGTTTCTCTCTTAGGAGCTGGGAAGAGCAAGCTTTCTTTATAGGAGCCTGCATTTTCTCAGCAGTTGGCCTTGCCATAAAGAAGATCTCCAACACCTCTCCCCCTCTCTCTCTCTTAAATCTGTCAGCTTTATTTCCAAACAGAAACCTCTAGTCGGTCTGCATTAAACTGTGGTGGCTCAAAGTTTCCAAAGCATCTTTAACAAACGGAGGAGCAATGTAAAATGCTGTGCTTTGGTTTGTGGCTCTTTACTGCAGAATTTCTTCTTCTTTTTCCAACGTGAGACGCTTCTTAGAGCAGACCTAGCTCAACCTGTTACCAAAATGAAGAAATACTATCAGGATAAATATTGCTGAGAAGTATTTGCAAGTATACCACTAAAATATTTTTCGTGTAAACTTTCAAAAGGCTTCCATATTAATTCCACACTTCACAGGGAAACTGTAGGAACAGGGTGTCCGAGTAGCCTCACTGAGCAGGAAAGCTCTGAAAAAAAAAAAAAAACTCTATTTAGGAACCTCAGAGACAGGCCTTCCAGTCTAAAGATGCAGCTAACAGCAGGCCCTGAGATGGATTGTGTGCAGCTGCTGAAGAAACAGAACAGTGACAGAAATGGCATTATATGGCTTCTTTGTCATCTGTTGTCATATTTATCAGAAGAGTAGAAAGCATTGTTCTTTCTCCAGAAGGACAATGTACGGACATGGGCCCTGTCTAAATAGCATTCCTATAATGGACTCCTCAATTAAACATACTATACAACACCATTAAGAAAACATTCAACCTTATTATTCCACGTAGCTAGTATTTTCATTCATCACTAATTCTAAGGTGCTATATTGTACCGCCCGCCTGTACTATGTGACAGTACGGTACAACTCCTGTATTGCAGCACCTACACTATAGGACCATTCGTGAGCCGGGCAAGGGAGATTTAAACACACAGAGACACGGGTCATCCTTGAAACAGGAATGCCCCTCTTATTGTGTCCAGGGGCAGCTTATATAGGGATTCTTAACTGATAGCCATGCCCCAGCCAAACCCACCAGAAACCACTCCCCTGCCATCAGGAACTCCTGAGGGTCTCGTGCTCAGAGCAGCTGCAAGCATAACACGTTGTTTACAAGAAATTCAGGGTCTGGGGGTTCACAGCTCCCAACACTGTATAAAGGAAGTAAAACACTGGATGTAGTCACCTAGTTAGTAGCGGACGTATCACCTACAGAGCTTTTTAAAGAATGTAGTCCATGGGGCTGGAGAGATAGCTCAGTGGTTAAGCGCCCCTGCTGTTCTTCCAGATGGACCTGGGTTCAATTCCCAACACCTACGTAATGGCTCACAACCACCTCTAACTCCATCTCCAGGGGATTTCAGTTCTCTTCTAGCCCCTCTGGGCATTGCATACATTTAGTACGCAGATATACAAACAAGCAGAAAACCCATCCATACACATAAAATAAAAATAAATAAGTCTTTTTTTTAAAAAAATGCAGCCCTGGGGTACATTCTTCAAAATTCTTCTCCCAAAGCCTCGGGTGGAGTCAAGGGGATCTTAATCTCTAGAAGTTTCCCCGACTGATTGTGTTACGGGGCATGTGTAGGAGCCAGTGGTCACAGACAGTCATCCTGTCCCCTAGAGTCTCCTCATCCCTAGCCCATGCAGACAATTAACAATGGCAAGCAATCCGAGGAGGGTGGTTTCATATAGCCCATCTCCTTCTCATTGCCCAGCACAGAAAGGATGCTGAGTTTATCCTCACTGAATCACCTGACCCTGGGGAAGTGGGAAAATTTCGTTCCCTCTGTAAATGAACTGACCTCTGGCCCAAAGTGCTCGGCTAGATAAACACTGTGGTTATCCTGAGCCGGATCACTGCTGTGTGGGAGAAATTGAACTGGAGAGCCAGACAGACCCAGGTCTAGACACTGTCTCTGCCCTCCACAGACAGACACCCCACCTCTTTCACGCCGCTTCCCCACTGGTTATGTGGAGAAGTTGTCACCCATTTAAGATAGCTGTAAAGATTAAGTGGGAGAAGGTGTGCAAGGCTCTTGCCAACATGGAAGGGGCCGATCATGAAAATTATCTGCATCGCCGTCTCCATTTTTCTCCATGCAGAGCTGGAGAGCGTGGCTGTGTAGTGAGAACATGAGAAGCCAGATTCTAAACCACAGATATCCTGCCCCAAACCCGGCCAGCCTCTGGGTTACCACAAGAACGACAGCCGAAATGAAGCACCAGCCAGTGCATTGCCGTGGTGACTCTGTGCTGGTCCTTGGCTTTAGGAATGAGCACAAGTAAGCAAGCGGCAGAGAACAAACTGCTGGAACACATTGTCACACATTTGGTGGCTGGAAACCCTGAGAACACACTCTCTCGGAGCTCAAGAGGAAGGTGGCAGCTGGGCACTCTCTCTGAAGGCTCTAGAGAGCAACCTCTCCTGGCCTTTCCCAGAGGCTGGCGGCATAGCTGCTGTGTCTGTTTCCGTCTTCGTATGGCCTCCTCTCTGATCTCAGTGTCCTCTGCTCTGGAGTACCAGTCACTGGATAGAAGTTCCATTCTATATCCAGAAGGACCTCGTCTCAGGAGTCTTAACTAAGTACACATGCAGACACTGTCTCCAGATTGTGGTAGGTTCTGAAGTTTGGGGAAGATGCAAATGGGGTGGGGGTGGGGGCACACTATCAAGCCACTACACTAACTATGATTCAGATTGCAAAATATCCCCGGGTCTGTTCTGTATTCATCCCTGAATAATACCATCTTTGATTTAAGGAGGTCAGGGCAACTAAGAGTATGCTCACATGACCAAGTCTCTCTCTCTCTCTCTCTCTCTCTCTCTCTCTCTCTCTCTCTCTCACACACACACACACACACACACATGTTCTATGAAATGAAATAGATGTGATAGGGGTGGGGGCACACTATCAAGCCACTACACTAACTATGATTCAGATTGCAAAATATCCCCGGGTCTGTTCTGTATTCATCCCTGAATAATACCATCTTTGATTTAAGGAGGTCAGGGCAACTAAGAGTATGCTCACATGACCAAGTCTCTCTCTCTCTCTCTCTCTCTCTCTCTCT